TTTAAACGGCGGGGGGGGGGGGGGGGGGTGTTAGTATCGCCATCACAGCATCTTGTTCTTATGTCATTGAAAACTCCCGCACTGTCTTTGGGGCCCTGTCTCATGTGTGGCCACAGCAGTTTGCTCAGTGGATGAAGTTTTGTTTGTTTGTTTGTTTTTGACAGGCAGAGTGGACAGTGAGAGAGAGAGACAGAGAAAGGTCTTCCTTTTTTTTTCCGTTGGTTCACCCCTCAATGGCCTCTGCGGCCTGCGCACCGCGCTGATCCGAAGCCAGGAGACCTCCTGGTCTCCCATGGGGTGCAGGGCCCAAGCACTTGGGCCATCCTCCACTGCCTTCCTGGGCCACAGCAGAGAGCTGGACTGGAAGAGGGGCAACCGGGACAGAATCCGGTGCCCCAACCGGGACTAGAACCCGGTGTGCCTGCGCCGCAAGGCGGAAGATTAGCCTAGTGAGCCGCGGCACTGGCCCTGGATGAAGTTTTCATTGACCATCTTGGCATTGAAGGAGTTAACAAAGGCACAGATGAGCCTGGATTCTGCTTCACACTCACAATAGCACCACCTCTGACACTGCCACTGCCACCATGGCTGCTGCCACCGCTATCGCTGCCGTCGGTGTCGTCACCGCTGCCTCCACTGCAGTCAGCGCGACCGTCGACGCCACTGCCCCCCAGCTGTCACTTCTTGAGCGACGACTCTGTCAGCACTGTTAGCACTTCGCACTGAGTTCCTTACTCATCCCAACAGCCCTCCGGACTAGGGGAGGAAACCGGGTATATAGTGTTTAAGTTCTGGCCCAGGGACACAGGGACCCATGTTTTAACCCCTTCAACTCCGTCATGCCTCCTTGTTAGCCTCCCCATCAGATCTCAGCCCGAAGCCACATCCTCCAGGGGCACGGCACGCTCGCTCGCTCACTGTCCACTCTGTCTGGCCCCATAACAGACTGGCATGCAGTCAAGAACAGGAGAGCGGGCCAGCCGCCCAGACTGCCAGAGACCCTCTCCCGCAGCCCATCCTCTCTGGGTTGCCAGGGCAACGCCTTTGGAAACATGCAGCCCGCAGCCTGGCAGCCACTGGGGGCCAGTGCTTATGTAATGGGAGAGGAGACGGGGAAGGAGCTATAAATACAAAGCACAGGGCCTGCGCTGGTGCTCATAACATCAACAGAAAATGTAATTGTTTTCTTGTTAGGAGAAGTGCAAGTACATCTTTGTTTTTAAGAAGATATTCATTAACATGAATAAAGTGAAGTGGAGGCGTCCAGCGAGCAGGCGGGAGGTAGCTGAGGCCTTGCTACTGAGAAGGGCTGGGCGCGCAAGGGGTGCAGGGATGGCGTCCTGCTCGCGGCAGCCCGTGGCGGCCTGACTGCTCTGCCTCGATGGAGGACTCTTGCTGGTTCGCGTCTTCTGCTGCAGCCGGCTACTGCAGGGCCTCTTGGCAGCTCCATGTCTGACGTAGTGGGCCTTCCATTTGAGCCAGTCACACTTGAAAAGTCTCCCTGAAATTATCTGGACTTCATTTCTAGCCATTTTGTTCCGGAAGTTCTAACCTCGGGGGGTCTTTGTTCTCCACCCTGAAACCTAATCTAGTTGGAAAAATTCCATTTACTCTGTAGAAATGGACCGGCCGTGGCGCCTGTGAATGACACGGTTCCTGTTATCCCTGTGTACTGTGGAAATGAACTTGGAAGCAGTTGGGTAGCCCCCGAAGCAGAAAATGATGTATGGCTCGGAAATGGCTTCGCTGGCCGCTGTGCTTCGACATCGCGGCACAGGGTTAGAACTACACATTCGATTTTACCGAGTTTTATTTTTGGACTGGACCAAACCAAAATAGACAAGGCCGGCGTGTTTGACTCCAAGCTAAAATGTCATCCACAGCTGCAGAAGGAAAATCATTAGCTGCTTCCTTGAGATCAGATCAGATCAAACCTCCCCACCATGAACTTTGCCCAGGTTTTCCCTTTCTCGGAGGGAGGAACGCGGAGAATCTTGGCAAAGTCTCATTGGCCGTGCGTGCTGTTTTCTTCCAGTTTCTCAGGGTGGCAAGGCAGATACTAAGGCTCTGCTTAGCACTGAACACTGAAGGAGCACCCAGCCTGGGTTGATTGAATGTGTACACACACACACGTGAAGCCCAGACTTGTGATGTCCCCCAGAGGCCATGCTCGAGAGATTGAGGTCTCTCAAACCTTGTGGCATAATCTCAGTCGCACTTCAACTATGACCGGGAGTTACTGTTGGAAAGGTGAGAGTGCAGCATTGGCAGTGTGGCCCAGCGCCGGTTTGAGTTCTGGCTGCTCCACTTCTGGTCCAGCTCCCTGCTGACGCACCTGGAACAATCAGAGGATGGCCCAAGTGCTTGGGCTCCTGCCACCGACTTGGGAGACCTGGGAAAGCTCCTGGATTCAGCCAGTCCCAGAGCCTTTGGGGAGGGAACCAGCAGATGGAAGATCTCTATATATGTAGCTGTGCCTTTCAAATAAACAAGAAAATCTTGAAAAAAAAGGGGGGGGGGTGAGTAAGGATATAGTATGTCTATTAAAAAATTACATTGGAAACTTATTTACATGTAGCTGTCAGGGGCCTCTTCAGCCTCTCTTTGGAAAGTGTACTGGTTTGGTGCCGGTGCTGTGGCCTAGCAGGTGAAGCCGTGACCTGCACTGCCGGCATCCTCTATGGGTGCCAGTTCGAGTCCCGGCTGCTCCACTTCTGATCCAGCTCTCTGCTATGGCCTGGGAAAGCAGTGGAAGATGGCCCAAGTCCTTGGGCTCCTGCACTCACATGGGAGACCCGGAAGAAGCTCCTGGCTCCTGGCTTCGGATTGGCGCAGCTCCAGCTGTTGCAGCCATCTGGAGAGTGAACCAGCAGATGGAAGACCTCTCTCTCTGCCTCTCCTTCTCTCTCTCTGTAACTCCAACTTTCAAGTAAATAAATCTTAAAAAAAAAAAAAAAAGTGGGATGCCAAAGTGTAGCATGTGGCAGCTTAACACACGGTACCACAATGTGACCACTTATTTTAAAAAAAAGAAAGTGTACTGGTGCACATTGCAGGTCTGTATCCGACTGGTGAGTGAGGAGGAAACTCGAAGGGGCCGAGTCTGACCCCAGCTTTGCCTCCAGCCAGCGAGGAGGCTCTCATCCGGGCCCAGCACTCGGGCCAGGTGCACCTCCAGGACGACAGGATTCCTTCAGGGCCGATGATCCTGATTCTTAGAGCCGTCAACTTTGGGCGTGTGTTTCAAAACACGCCTTCCACCTCCCGGAGGGCGCAGAACGCCTGAGAGCCTGAGTGCGGTCAGGGCCCGGGGACGCGCAGGGGCTCTGCGCCCCTCGCTGTGGGGGGATGTGAGAAGCGGGGCGTTCCCAGCCCGAGGCACCACAGCGGGCTAATGAGGGCGGATGTTCTGTCCCGGACCCTGCCGCCTTCATTAGGCCTTGCAACGCGGAGGCCAGCGGTCGATCGTTATTTACGGTGGAAATCTGGGAGAAGCCCGGTTTCCCAGAGCTGCAGGCAGGCCCTTAGAACCTTCGTGGAAATGATGAAAAGTCTGAGTCATGCTAATCAAGCCTGGATGCTTTACATTGTTGAACGACAGATACTGTGCGATACCATTTTGAACTCAACAAAGAGAGAAGCCTTTGAATTACGGCTAAAGACTGCGAGAGCATTCCAGGCAGGCAGAAGCACTAGTGCCCTGGCCAGGGCTGCAGCTGCTGCTCCGAGCAGTGGCCGTCACGCTGACGGTGTGCCTGCTGCTCCTGGGCGGGCCGTCTCAGCAGGCCGTGGTGGGTTTGAGTGGCGTGGCAGGAGTCGGGCCTGGTGGGCAGCGCCCTCACTCATAAGGAGGCGTGAAGGTGTGGCTGGGCAGGCTGGGCCTCGCTGCTTCACTCACCCCACCCCTGCACTGCGGCGGGAGTTGTGACCGGAGTGCCTGCACGGGCGCTCAGCCTGCGGACTCTCCCGGAAGGCTCTCTGCCTGCTACCTCTCCAGTTGTGAAGGTTTGCCTGATACTTAACCCCGGTGCTCCCTGCTGTCGCCGGGTCCTACGCCATCGACAGAATGATTGATCCCGCTGCACGCACAGCTGCCATGGCGTGTTGAACAGCCGTTGTCAGCTTCCTCCTCGTTCCTGTCCGGGAGGCCTTGCCTTCCGCAGGGAGCACGTCCTGGTGCTCATCCCCCTCACGTGCCTGCAGTCCGTTAGCCTGCCTTCGCAGTCACGTTGGCGCCGCTCCTGTTTTCCCTGACACGGGGTGGTTATCTCACGTTACACGTGATTCTCCGGGTTAGCACGTGCTAGCGGCTGACTAGCGCCGTGGCCTTGTTGACTCATGTGCAGCGTGAGTCACTGCAGTCCTCCTTGTCAGGGCCACTGTGGATCTGAGCGGGAGGGGCCCTCCGAGGTACTAGTTCACGTGTGTGTGTGCGCACGGCAGGGCTCACGTGGCAGCCTTGGAGTAGGTGCGCATGGTGGTGTTTGGAGCGTGGTGTTTGGTGATTGATACAACCACCGGCTGACTTAGGGCTGCATCTGCTAATTGTTTACCGGAGTGGGTGTCTGAGATTCAGGATCGGAGCTCTCCATGTTTCTTCTCCTGGTGTCTATTTCTGAAGCCACTGACATTTAAGTAAATAATTGTTTCTCTTCTTCTGTTCTGCGATCCTCGAGTGCAGGCCGCACCAGGCCTTGCCCTTCAATTGCACTTGCCCCTGAGCGGCCCACTCAGCCGCAGTGAGCGCCGTGGTGAGCCTCGGCGGGCAGGGCCCTCCTGGCGATTTCCTGGGGTACAGCATTCCTGGTTCCTGGGGTGCTTGTTACCATGCTCGCCTTCAGGCCTCGGGCGAGGCTGCAGGAGTTCTGTGGTGTCCTCTGAAATTTCTAGAACTTTCTAGTAATGAGCCCTTCAACAGTGGCAAAGCCGGCGTGTGTGTGCCAGAACTGTCCTGGGAATAGTTCTGCCGGGAAAAACACTGCTTGGAGCAGGCAGTTAGCCTAGTGGTTACGCCGCCCCCGTTCTACATCAGAGGTTTGGTTCCTGGGCTGGCCCCGGACACCAGCTTCCTGATAGTGCAGGCCTGGAAGGCGACAGTGATGGCTCTGTGACTGGATCCCTGCCACGCGTGTGGGAGACCTGGAGGCGACAGTGATGGCTCCATGAGTGGGTCCCTGCCACGCGTGTGGGAGACCTGGAGGTGACAGTGATGGCTCCATGAGTGGGTCCCTGCCACGCGTGTGGGAGACCTGGAGGCGACAGTGATGGCTCCGTGAGTGGGTCCCTGCCACGCGTGTGGGAGACCTGGAGGTGACAGTGATGGCTCCGTGAGTGGGTCCCTGCCACGCGTGTGGGAGACCTGGAGGTGACAGTGATGGCTCCGTGAGTGGGTCCCTGCCACGCGTGTGGGAGACCTGGAGGTGACAGTGATGGCTCCGTGAGTGGGTCCCTGCCACGCGTGTGGGAGACCTGGAGCGAGTTTCCATCTCCCACCTCAAGCCCGTCCCAGTCCTGACCATTGCTGAAAGTTGGTAAGTGGCAGAAAGGAGCTTCCTCTGTCTTTCTTCTCATTCTCTCTCTCTCTCTCTCTCAAATAAATTCAGATTCAAAAAATAGTACTGAAAACTTCTACTTAAGTCTATCAAATATAATAAATTTCAGTTATTCCAAAAAGTTAAGGAATGAGGTGTTCTGACTAATTGAATTTTCTAGAATAGGTACTTTGTGTAATCTTCAAAGATGGACAGTCTAAAGTTATGTAGCTGCTTCATTGTGCATAAACAAGGGTACTTTAGAAAGTTCATGGAAAGTGAAATTAAAGATTAGGTTTAGTTCGGCACAAAAAATTATAGTCCTCGCATAGTTTTTTTTTCATAGTGCATATTCTGTGTAAAATTTTTGAAGTCTCCTTAGGGTCATATGCTCTTAAGACATACGTATGGAACTGACTTAGAGCTGCGAGCTCTGGGTTGAGGTAGAAGAAACAGTTGCAAAAGGACGCCGTCACCTGGACTCGGGTGAGAGGTGAGCGTGCTGACCTCTCACCTCCGCCACTTCGAGGAGTGTGTGTGCAGGAACTGTGCTGAAATCCTTGACGCGTGTGGTCGCCGCCGCCGCTCTCGGAGATCCGAGGTTGTCGCTGTCCCCATTCCGACGAGAGTTGAAGCTCAGTAACTCGCCTCGCTCTGTAGAGTGTGGGCCCAGCCCTGGCCAGCTGGACGCCCGAAGCATGATCTAAGCCGCAGCACCGCCTTCCTGATGCGTCCATTGTCCTCTTTCAGCGTGGGAAGGGCTTTTGTCCAAACGCTGTTTTCAGGGAAATTTTTCTTACTCTGCTGGTAGTGTAGAGATCTAAACGTATCAGAAATGTTTTCCCATTCAAATGCATGGAAGCTCGGCTACTCGTGCAGATGGGCAAAGAGGCCAAGGGGGCATCAGCGTGTGCAGGGGTCCTGCTGAAACCCTGCCGTAGGTGGTCCGGGCTCCGCGTGTGCAGACTCCTCTCCTCTCCAGCCATCCACGAACAGATGTGTGCCAGTCGCGGCTCAGGCGGGAAGACAGTAAGGATTACAAAGCCAGGCTGTGGGGCCGAGCCTGTCAGGACTAAGGCTCTGCAGGTACGTGGTGCAGCACTGCCGCGGCTGCCACCGCTGCCGCTGGCCCCTGCGGTGGGACCAGTGGTCTCCCCAGCACTCCCACGGTTTGCAGAGCAGAGCAGTGGGGGTTCTCAGCACCTGGACCACCCAAGAGTATCCTGTATCTTGCCTTGTGTCACCAAAACTTTTATTGACCTGTTTTTGAATATTTGATAGGCAGAGAGGGAGAGTCACAGAGAGAGCATGTGTGTGCACTAGGTTGGCTGGTTCACAGCCCAGAAGCCTACGACGGCTGCAAGTCGGGAACCCAGTCCAGGTCTTTGACACGCACGGCGGGGGTCGAGAACTTGAGCAGCACTGCCGCCTCCCAGAGGGCGCATTAGTAGGGAGCTGGAGTGGGGAGCTGGAGTGGGGAGCAGAGCCGATTCCAACCAGGTGTATACTCCAGTGTGGGCCGCAGTTCGTGCAGCTCTCACCCCAGTAACGTTGAGATGAGTGCAGAACGTTAACTCGTGGTCCAGGCACTTCGTAGACATCGGCTTTATTGAGGCAACTGCACCTAGTTAAGAGCTTTCACAAGTGTGCGTCTGTGGGACCCCACCCCAGTAAGAGAGCACTGTGTCTCCCTGGAGCTTGCTGTGTGCTGCTCCCCGGCCTCCTCCGGGCGGGCCCTGGTCTGCTCTGTCCCTGGACGGGTTGAGCCTTCCGGAGAGTTTCCTGTCCCGGCCATGGAAGCCTGTTTTGAGCCTCGCCGCTTTGCTCAGCAAAGATTTTCAGGCTTCATTCACGTTGCTCCTTCACGGCTTCTTTGCTTTTGGAGTAGTGTTGCATTGTGTGGCCGTACCACAGCGTGTTCTGTCTGTGGACCTGTCCTGGCCGCGTGGGTTCTTTCTGGTTGGGCGTGTTAAGAATGAAAGTGCAGGGGGCATTTATGTACCACTGTTTGTGTAGTCATGGGATTTTTTTTTAAAGATTTTATTTATTTATTTGAAAGGTAGAGTTACAGATACAGAGAGGGAGAGACAGAAAGGTCCTCCATTCACTGGTTCACTCCCCAAATGACCACAATGGCCGATCTGAAGCCAGGAGCCTGGAGCTTCTTCTGGGTCTCCCATGCAGGTGCAGGGACCCAAGCACTTGGGCCATCTAACACTGCTTTCCCAGGCCATTAGCAGGGAGCTGGATTGGAAGTGGCGCCCTGGTGGAGGCGTAGCCTACCATGCCACAGCGCCAGCCCCAGGAATTTTATTTTTCTTAGGGAAGCCCCTGCAGTGGAGTTGTGGCATCCTGGCTAGTGTGCATATGTGGACCTTATACAAATTGCTGGCCATTTTCCTACAGTGGTTTGCCGAGCTGTGCTCCCACTGGTGTCATGTGACAGTGACCTGCTGTGTGTCCTCACCAGCGTTCGGTGTTATCGGTCTCTTTCTGTCCCGGTAAGTGGCGTGGGAGCCACGTGCTCCGTGGGTTCCCTTGGGCTGGCTGTTGACAATGAGCCTCTCAGGTGCTTATCAGCCCAGCAGTGGGCGTGTTCTCCCCAGGGAGCCACGGCCCATGTCTTCTGCCCTCCTCTTGTTCCAGTCTGCGCTAGTTTTTAAAAGTCACGAACGGAGCGTGGAAACTCGTCGGAGGCTTTTTCTGCATCTGTTGAGATGAGGATTGTGTTGTTTTCCCCTGTGTTTTGTGAACATGCTTTGTTGCGTCTCTTTCTGGTAAAATACACGTAACAAAGATGCGCTCTCCTGGCTGTCGGCAGCCCAGGCCGTGGCAGCAAGGAGCCGTCGCCACCCCCCGTCTTCAGAACCCTCCTTGTGCCCGCGGAACTCCGATCCCCATTGCCTCTCTTCCCCTGCTCCAGCAACCACCCGTCTCCTTCTGTCGGTGTGGGGCAAGCACTGCGAGTGCCCTGTGTGGGCGGAGTCGTCAGGGTTTGTCTTTTTGGCATTGGCCGACTTCCCTTTGCCTGCTGTCCTCACGGCTCATGCACGTTGGGCAGGTGTCGGAACCTCCCTGCTGTCCCAGGCTGGGCAGTGTTCCGATGCACGTCCACATCACACACGGGTTCATTTTTGAATGTTAATCCTACTTTACGTTTCTGGAATCTACTCCATCGTGAAGTATTAACTTTGTTGTACGCTTTTGCATTCTGTTTGCCAGTAATTCATTTCTTCATGAGGAAGGCAGCCTGTGGTTTCCTGGTAATGCCTTTGCTAGTCTCAGTGCTAGGATGGTGCCTGCCTTGTTAAATGACTGGGGAAGTGCTCACTCTCCCTCTGTTTCCCGAATTCCCTCGAGATCTGTGTTATTCCTTCCCTGGTAGAATTGATGGAGGAATCCATGTGGGCCTGGAGTTTTCTTTCTTTTTTTTTTTTTTTTTAAGATTTATTTTTATTTATTGGAAAGGCAGAGAGACAGAGAGAGAAGGGGAGAGAGATCTCCCATCCACTGGTTCACTTCCCAGATGGCAGCAACAGCTGGAGCTGGGGTGATCTGAAGCCAGGTGCCAGGAGCTTCTTCCGGGTCTCCCTTGTGGGTACAGGGGCCCAAGGACTTGGACCATCTTCCACTGCTTTCCCAAGCCTAGCATGGAGCTGGATTGGAAGTGGTGTAGCCGGGACTCAAACTGGTACCCATGGGGGATGCCGGCGCTTCAGGCAGAGGTTTACCATCTACACCACAGCACTAGCCCTTGGAGTTTTCTTTATGAGACTATTTTTGCTAAGAAATTCACTTCTTAAAAAGTAAACATAAAGCTAATCACATTTTTATTTCTGACGAGATCGGGCATGTTCAGGGTGATGTGGCTGTAGACGAGATTTTTATTTCTTATATCAGTAGTACAATCTATGTCTTTCAAAAGTAGCCATTTCATCTAAGTTGTTGAATGTATTGGCATACGGCTGTTTGTGATATTCCCTTATTCATTCGATGTCTCTAGAAACAATGATGTCATCTCGTTGATTCCTGATATTGGTAAATCGTGTTGTCTCTTTTCCTTTGATCCGTCTAGCTAGTGATTTCTCAATGTTATTCCAATAACCTACTGTCAGCTTCAGTGATTTTCCTGTTTTTATCCATTTTCTATTTCACTGATTTGCATACACTATTATTTCCTCCTACTTCATTTGAATTTAGTTTGAATTTTTTTTTAAGATTTATTTATTTGAAAGGCAGAGTTAAGAGAGGCAGAGGGCCGGCGCCGCGGCTCACTAGGCTAATCCTCCGCCTTGCGGCGCCAGCACACCGGGTTCTAGTCCCGGTCGGGGCGCCGGATTCTGTCCCGGTTGCTCCTCCTCCAGGCCAGCTCTCTGCTATGGCCGGGGAAGGCAGTGGAGGATGGCCCAAGTGCTTGGGCCCTGCACCCACATGGGAGACCAGGAGAAGCACCTGGCTTCTGGGTTCGGATCAGCGCGGTGCGCCGGCTGCAGTGCGCCAGCTGCAGTGGCCATTGAGGGGTGAACCAACAGAAAAGAAAGACCTTTCTCTCTGTCTCTCTCTCTGTGTCCACTCTGCCTGTCAAAAGAGAGAGAGAGAGAGAGAGAGGCAGAGGCAGAGAGAGAGAGATCTTCCATCCACTGGTTCACTTCCCAGATGGCCACAATGGTCTGAGCTGGGCTGATCCAAAGCCAGGAGCTTCTTCCAGGTCTCCCATGTGGGTGCAGGAGCCCAAGGACTTGGGCCATCTTCTACTGCTTTCCCAGGCCACAGCAGAGAGCTGGATGGGAAGTGGAGCAGCCGGGACTCAAACCAGCAGCTCCAGTATGGGATGCCGGCATTACAGGCGCTATGCCACAGCGCCGGCCCCTGTAAGCTTTTCTTAAACTATAAATTTCCCTCTAAGTGAGGCTTTAGGTGCATCCACAAATTCTGATGTGTTTTTATTATCATTTAGTTCAGGATGCTTTCTAATCTTCTTTGTGATTTCCTCTTTGACCCGCGAGTTACTTAGAAGTATATTGTTTGATTTCCAAATCGCTGGGGAGACGTGC